TCTCTTTCACACACACACACACACACACACACACACACACACACACACACACACACACACACACACAGCCCATGAACTAAGTTTTGTCAATGGCTTTAGACAGCTGAGCACAAAGTGTGGACAACTGAACTTGTGGCATTCAGCCAAGGGTAAGGGAAGGGAGAGCAATTGTTGGAGGCTCTAGTGCCACTGATTTAACTTTATAAGTCAGTCTCAGATACTTTAAAGTCATATTTTATAGGTGTGCAAGATTTGCATCTTTAATGGCCCAATTTAACCAGGCGTGCATTTTGAAGTCTGCGTAGTAGTGACGAGGTAGAAAACTGGCGTACTTTTTAAGCATTCAGACCCAATGGCTGTAAGGGTTATTTTTAGCTCATGTCTCTGGCTTTGTGCATCAAATTCCTTCTTGAAGGATGAAGGATCAGTTGAGTGCTGTGGTCTGAGTGTTTGGTATACCCTCAAAAATTCTGTTTTGGAATTTAATATTCAATTTGATTATATTGTGAAGTGGAGCCTTTGGGGGAAGTAGTTAAATCATGAGAACTTCATCCTCATGAATGAGACCGGTGTCCTTATCAGAGAGGGTTGGAGCATCACCTCTGAGGCAGGGAGTGAGCCTTCACCATGCACTGAATCTTCTGATACCCTTGGCTAGGATCCCCCAGCTTCTGGAGCTATAAGCAGTAAGTTCCTATTTGCCCAATAGTAATATCACCCAATATTAACTGCTCACAAACAACTCACATAGCTCCAATATGATCACACCACACATTCCAGGCCTCCACCATCACCTTAACTCTTTCAAGTCTTTTCCATCTTTTTTCTTGTTTGTTTGTTTTTTGTTTTTTTTTGAGACAGGGTTTCTCTGTGTAGTTTTATGCCTTTCCTGGATCTCGCTCTGTAGACCAGGCTGACCTTGAACTCACAAAGATCTGCCTGCCTCTGCCTCCCAAGTGCTGAGATTAAAGGCGTGAGCCACCACCGCCCGGCTGTCTTTTCCATCTTATCAGATTCACGGATCTTCTTTTGAGCATCCTAGACATCCCTACATCTCGTCACATCCATCTGCCTCTAATTCTAGCAGCTCTCACTTTCTCTTATCTGGACCACTGTGATGACTTTCCGACCAGCTGCTCTTTAGGAACTGAGTATTTCAGTCCTTCATTTCCTCTTCCTCCCCCCTCCATTTATTGCCATCCATCCTTCTGTCCATCCACTCACTAAAAATGTACTGATTATAAATGAACACACTGGGCCTGATGCAGCTCTATGCGCAGCAAAGAACCTTTGGAAGTGTTTTGAAGTCCCTGCCCCTTGGGACTTGCCTTCTACTCCAGTGGGAGGGATAGACGATCCACAATTGTGTCTTTCTGCTAATGAATCTGACTCTGCAAATTTGCAGCT